ACCCTTGCTTCGTAGACGGTTACGTTCCAGAGGATCATCAAAGACTAAACATGTCTAGACTACAGGCCGCACCAACGTCTTGCCAATAGACATGAAACATTCTACAGAGGGCATCGACCTCTAAGCATGCTGCTGCTTCCTGCACATGCACGCTTAACGCATAAGCACAGCTAGAGAGCGCTTCATGACATATGTCGTAGTTGCAAAACTAGATTTGCTTGATTGGTATCATCCAACACTGTGCCAGTATGGATAGTGGTCTTTGGAGTTTTGCTGAACGAACATTTCCCGAATTCTTCACGATCCTCATGGGTCATTTCTTACGGAAAGACTTTCACTCGGCTTCTTACGCAGGGATCAGGGGGGGGGGGCCCTGTCTAGGAACCGCTGCCCTAAAAAAAATCCAGTGCGGGTACCCAGACCTCTGTCTGTACCCGTCTCCAGTCAGTGGACGAGGCAAAGCCCCGGTGTGAGCAGCACCAACAGCGGGAGAAATGAGACCGTGCCATGCTAAGACAACCTGACGTCTGCATACACAGATGCCCACATGCGTGCATGCCGCTGTCCCCCGGCTCAGCGCGGCGACCAGCGTGCCGGCGCCCATGACACCCCCTGGCGGCCGGCCGGCCGACGCCGGACCGGCGCGCAGGCGGCGGGCACCGCCGGGTCGGTTTTGCAACCCGCGGCCGTGCCTTCACCACCGCCGCCGCCGTCCGCGCCGCCGCAAGAAACTCATTACCAACCCAGATATACAAATTGAGTGGGAGCCGTGATGGACGGGCCGGCGGCAAACAATCGGTGAAACCGGCGCGCTGTGGCGATACCGGCGCGCCAGAGGTGTCAATCGCGCGCCAGCGGGGGTCCGGCGCGCCCGTCGCCCGCGGGCTGATCACGTGTCATAACTTGTAAAAATACGGCGCGCACCGCGCGGCCTGCTGGGCGCTGTTGTGCGGCCCTCTGACAGCGTGGCCGCGTATTTTGATGGCTTCAGGGCCGCGTCGATTGCCAATTCGCGCTCAGCGGGGCGCGCGCGGGGGAATGGAGATGTCAGTGGCGCGCCCGGCCAGTGGCGGCGACAGCGACGGGGAGAGAGGGAGCGAGGAGCGGAAACGGCGGCGGGTCAGGCCAGGGCGGTGTCAGCGACGGAAAACAGGGAGCACAGATGTCAGCGGTGAGCACGGCCAGTGCGGGTGACAGCGACTGGGAGAGAGAGAAAGGGAGAGGGAGACAGATGCCAGTGGCGCCGTCCAGGCAGTGGTGGTGCTGGCCGCTGACCGAGCGCATACGTGACGTCATAAGCGAGAGCATACATACAATTTTACACTCTTAGGACCCAGGTCCAGGACCCCGCTTCGTTTTCGCCGCCCCATCCACACCAACAGTGCTCTGCTGCAAATAGGTCAAAATACATAAAAGACGGCGGAGAGGGGGGGGGGGGGGGGTGGCGGGGTACACCGATAAATTGGTCAACCCCCCCCCCCCCACCAGTCAGAGGGAGATCTATTGTCGCAGCAGCCCGGGGTAGTGACAGAGCGACTGAGGCTCACCGACGTTCTCAGCCGGTCCCGTAGCGGCGCAGTCCGTGCAGCAGGCGACCAGCTCCATCGGGCTCCTGCGGCCTGGCAGCAGGCGATTGGCTCCGTCCGGCTCCCGCAGGTCAGCAGCAGACGACCAACTCCGTCCGGCCCCGTCCGGCCCCCGCAGCACGGCAGCAGGCGATACACTCCGTCCGGCTCCCGCAGGTTAGCAGCAGACGACCGGCTCCGTCCGGCTCCGTCCGGCTCTCGCAGCCGGGAGTCGGTCGGCACCCCACGCTGGAGCTGGCTCCCATCAGAGCCATGCCGCCCAGCCCGCCAGCAGCTCCACCCAGCCGCGATGGCCGGCCGGCCGGGCCGTCCGTCAGGCCCGGCCTCGGCCGGAGTCGCCTCTCGGCACATCGGCCCGCCCGACGGCCGGACAGCTGTGTTGCAGCTGCGTCGGCGACATGGTCGGCGGCCTCGTCAGCATCGAGACCGGCTGGTAGCCCCTGCAGGAACTCATGACACCCAAATCAGAAGTCAGTCGGTCATTCAGGTTGTTAGTTTGCCAGCTTTAGGTCAACATCAAAAGTCAGCCTGGACCAGTCTGTGTCGAGTATGTCAAGCTTTCTCCACGTGACTTTCTCGTCAAAATTGTCTGAAAAATGTTAGGGTTTAAGTACTTAATTATCTTTTGAGTGCAATGCGCGCTTCCCGTCCGGCTGGCTGATTCTGTTGACCGGGTTGGGTGATGGGATAGGGCAGCTGACGACGGACTGAATACCGAACCGCTCGTCATGATCGAGGTTTGTTTACATCACCGCGTTGATTCAGATCTGTCTTATTTGAAGTGTTTGGAGTCGCCTGTAGGGCAAAATGAAGTGCAAGCGAATGTAGCCTGTGACGTATCGCGCCCATGCCACACATGATCCGTGTATCTGTGTGAGTTTCAACGTCATCCTAGAGTTGCAGCCGAAGAGCCCTGGCGAATGAGGCGCTGAGTGTAAGCTAATCGTAAGCTAAAGCTGCAGAAAGTGACCTCCGTTTCGGCTGACCGACCCAGCCGAACGGCCGGAGCGCAGTGACCGTAGCACTGTATTGGACTGTAGGTGCGGCTTGTATCAGGCCATGTGAACAGCAGGCGGGCAGGCTCCCGCCCAACCGCGGCCACGGCTGTCACCTCGCTCCGCCACCCGCGTCGCTCACTGGCGACAAACGTGTCGATATGCCTCGACGACCCGGATCTCCGATTACCATCTGAGCACGAGATGTGCGCAAACTCTGCAGCAGGATTCTCTCGTTTATTGCATTGCGCCCTGGGCCGGTCCACAGCAGGCAATCACGAGGGTCCAACTGCAGCTCCTGACAGGAGGGTAACGTTACACAAGCTTTTGAACTCGCTGGCGCAGTCAAATGATCGAGGCTGGCACCGTCAAAAGGGAGCGCATTCCAGTCAGCAGCTTTCATACAAGGGAGAAAACAGGTTACAGCAATAGAAAAGGGGCTACAAAAGCACGTGGGTTATCGGAAGCGCCACTCCGTAGACTATCTCCACGAATAATTAAGAACAGTCTTCGGATTAGTACATTTAGATAGGACTCAGGGAATAGATCGGTCCGTATCAAAGAGAACATTACAAGAACTGGACAGCAGATTATTTGTGCATAAACAACTACAGCGCTTTGGCAGTGAAATATCAGACAAATGCGTACATGCGAGACGTTCACAAGGACCAAGAACACGCATTTGTTTGGCTTCTTAAACTTACGAACGATGTGAATGGCTCGCAAAACAAATGAACGCTCCATGGCCGCTGCACCCGTCACTAGGATGCGCCCATTGCCTCGGTAGGGGGCAGCAGGTCCGGCCAGCCAGCGGACTTGCCAAGTACGTACGCAAGCCGGGACCTCGCGCAGGACTACAGCACACCAGTCAAATCCCATCTCGTCGAGTCACGCGCACCTTCGAGCACCGCTTAAAAACACTCAGGAAACACCTCACCAGTCACCGCTACAACACCAGCATCGCTTCAATTCTCCCGCGCAGAAACCAGCCCCTCCGAGCAACGTGCGCCTGGAAGGGGCTGTTTTCCCCGGTGGCCGGCAGATGACAGGGCGGCTCGGCCGCCAGGTGATTGGCTCAGCGTCGGTTTCCGTTCCGCTGGCAGATGGAGGGACCGTCCGGCTCCGACACGTACCGGTCCGGACAGACGCACGATCTGCTGCCGTTGTCCGTCGGCAGGCACAGCTGTTCGGCGCCGCAGCCGCCGTTTTGTCGGCCACACACGTTCGTCACTGAAACGGCGCCGCCCAATGAAACAACGGCTTGGGCGGATGGGTACAATGCGAGCAACGAGGAACGAAACTAAAAACGTTAAGAACGGCTAGTA